AGCATCCAGGCTTCCCTTCGTCCGTATTACCAGGTATCTACATGGGCTTCCCTACGCTCTTCTTCCGATGACCCCAACACCGTTATCACTCCCTCACTAGATCTTGTGCAAACTTTGCGTCTTCTCGCCACCGACTTTTCGTTCCTATCCCGTACGCTGGCTGTGGCCCCGAGGCGTAGAATTGCCAACCACGTCCTACTTACTATTCAGACGTACATTTGGGATAGCATTCTGATGCGGAATTCTTTCTCTACCTCTGGGGCTGCACAACTCTCCGTTGACGTTTCCAATATCTGTGATACAGTAGATGCTGCTATTGGCACAAAGACTGGTGAAATACTCGCAGCGCGCACAATGAAGAAACTACAGGATGGGCTATTCATCCTGAACCTGGAGATTAAAGCAGGAAAAGATCATCTGGCCGGCACTGGTGACGATACTAGAACAATGCTTAGCTTATGGGAAGCTGAGAAGAGGCTCTTTGCCAATAATGAAAGCGCACGAGGCGTCTTATCCGAGCTTGGTATAGATACACTTACCGAGGCTGATGCCAGGTCGGTTTTAGAGAGAAGAGTTGAAGTTCGCAGTTAGATATACTCGGTACGGTAATTGAGACCATTTTATTAGATCTTCATTTATCATCAGTTCAGGGGACTTTTCATATTCTATATTTGACAAATCTTATACACACTGAAGATAAGAATACTGATGCTTTTAGAAAGGATAAATCCCGATAAGCATCATAACTCGGTCACAGCATTCCGTCAAAGCACAAAATCTGAAGCAGCCGGAGCGCCTTGAGGCCCCACGGCCCATTTCAAGAGGGTTTTTTGGTCGTTGGCCAGGCGCTGGAGCCTGGTTTGGATTTACAAAGTTCGAATTCAACTCTAGCCCACGCTGCTTCCTGACTGCTTTGGCGCCCAGTTCCAAAACTACCTCGACAAGACGTTCGACTGTTTCTTTTTTAGTGTGAAGATTGACGACACATCTGAGGTATTTGCCGTCTCCTTCAACCTGTGCTGCAGCTGGTGGCGCATAGTCAACCATAAATCCTTGCTGGATCAGATCGCTGGCGATCATGGAAGTAATCTCTCCGTTGAGCTTTCCCCGTTCTGCTTCGTCTGCCACCTTGTCGGAACTGTGGACCATCTGTTTAAATGGTGCATAGAAGAAACAGATTTGGAAGCATGGTGGCGGATTCTCACTGAGAAGAATTAAATCCGGAGAATCCGCAATGAGGTTGCAAAGATGAACAGCAACATCGCTTGCAGCATCAATTCGTTCTTCGTACCCCGACGAGCCGATGTAATTCCAGTTCAGGAACATTTTCAGGGCATCACCACGACGGCCACATTGCAAAGTCAGATCACCCAGATCCCATATCTCAGAGCCATCAGACACGTCATTATGAAATAGGTATCCAGCGGGAAGTGTGTTTGATCCGTGGAACTGAGTCATATCAGCACCCAGGAGGAAGGAGCAAGTCAATGGCACCCCGAGCATTTTGTGAGGATTTATGGCAATACTGTCGGCCATATGTGAGCCTTCAAGCTTATGTTTCTGGCGGTTAGAAAAGATAAAAGCACCACCCCAAGCTCCATCAATGTGAAACCAGAGTTTATGTTTGCGGCAAATCTCAGCAATTTCCGTAAAAGGGTCGAAAGTCCCTAAAACTGTGGTCCCGGCAGTGGCATTGACGAAGAGTGGGGTTTTACCGGCGTCCTTTGCCTTCTGGATCTCCTCATCAAGCTTCTGTGGAATCATTCGTCCTTCACGATCAACAGGTACACTGTGAACCGCGTTACTCCCTAGTCCGATCATTTGCGCCGCTTTCTCAATGCTATAGTGTCCATGAGCACTCGTAAATAAAACAAATCGATGATCGCCTGTTCCGTTCTTCTTGGTATCAGGGAATAAAGTATTCCTTGCCACAACAATGGCCGTAGTGTTGGATGCAGAGCCTCCCTGAACAGCGATTCCACCAGCGTTTAGTCCGGTAAGGCCAAAAAGCTCAGCAAATCGCCGTGTGGTCAATTTTTCGATCACTGTCAATGCTGGGGCCGACTGATAGACGTGCACGTTGGCATTCAATGTCCCAAGGAGCAACTCTGCGGCCAAGCCAGGAGCGTTTGGTGATGAATAAAGCTTGTCCAGAAATCCTTGTTGCCAGGTATTGACGGAGTACTTTAGAAGGTCATCTACAATTCGAACAAGTCCATCATGCCCTTGCCCCGAACTTGTTAAACCTTCACCGAATACCGCCTTAAGCTCTTCTGGGGACTTAAAGTCGAGAATCTTTGGCTGAGAATCATCACCATTTTTCTGTCCTGGTACCTGTAACGCGCGGTCTGCCTGCTCAACAAACCCAATAACACGCTCCTGGACAGAGTTCAAGACCTAAAACTCCCATTCTTAGCCAGTTACTCTAGTAATTTAATACCTATTCAAATGATTACAAAGTAGAATTGATGCCACACCCATCGTCTCAGCGACGATGAGAGACCACTGGGTGACTCACTTTCCGCACTTCTTCAGGCCGCTCCATTCTATCGTGATTCAGGGACACTGTCAACTCGCTTCAATCAGTGGAGAAAGCGTTGCATAGAAGTTTGGTGTTGGATGTGGCTGTGATCTGATATATAAAACCCTAGATTTCTACATCCCTTATCTTGTTGTATCACGTGAGTAAAGTTCCAGCCAACTAAATTTGTCATCGATATTACGTAAAGGCAATCACGGCGTGACGTCACTCAGTTGCGGCTTTTTACTGCGCTTTCAGAAGGCCGCTCGGCGCCGACAGAGCCTGCTTCTTGCCGCGGGAGCCTTGATCCTTGCCATCTGGCTTCTCCTGTTGTTCGGCTCTTGCCGCATATCGCGCCCTGGCGAGATCCAACTTGCTCTTAGCCGGCCCGGCGCTCGAATCGGCAGTTGAAGGTGAGACTTTGGTGTTGTCGAGCCCCTTCGCCTTCGACATCCATTCTCCCCGTTTTCTCTTGTACAAATCCATCGACCAATTCCTCCACACTGCTCGTCCCAAGAACGAATCGCGAAGGGCAGGTTCGTTATCCGCCAGTTCTTGTGCCAGCCTTTGTTTGATAAATATCAAGTCGGAGGTAGCGTCCCAGAGAGCGTCAGCGACATGAGAGCCACTGCTATCCAGGGACAAGTCGCACATCTGTCCGTAAAACCGGGGTAAAAATTGTCGACGAAACTGGGTATTCAATTTGGAGGGTTTAAGAGCCTCTTGAAGCGCACGAGATGCTGTGGGATTATTCGCAATCTGTATTAGAGTCTCTGTTGGTGCGGTAAGAAAACTGGACTGTATCATTGCGGCAAGGGTGCCAGATGCTTGTAACATGGATTGTGCCAAAAGTGATCCATGGATATGTTGAGGGGAAGTTCCAGCCTTTGGTTTCACTTTTGCAAGATCTTCAGCATCCTTGTCTTTTGTCTCAACCCCTAGAATCGCCTTAAGGCGAGCAAGGCCGTCCTCACCATACGCTGATTCCAGTGCTTTGGCCAATGAAGCTGTATCAGCACTTCGAATTATCGAGCGGTCTATTATTGTTTTGATAACATTAAGCCTTGACCGCTGGACTAGTGAAGGTATTTCAGGAAGTATGCTTTCAATTGCTGATTCGAGATCTTCCCTACTCACCCTCTCCAGCACTTTGATAACAACATAGGAAGCTATCTCATTTCGCGCCAAGGAACCAATCCTTTCGCGAATGATATTCTTGTAGAATGTTTTGAAGAATTTCCCGGGAGCGACCCGGACAATCGTTTCTAGTAATCGAGAACCAACTGGATCATAGAATAAACTGTTTAGAAAATTCACGCCCTCCTCCTTGGTTTCAAGGGTATCGTCTGGTATAAGCCTACGGAAAACAGAATTTTTGTCCTTGAGTTTTTCTGTACCCATGCACCCAAGCTCAATTGACAGAATGACTTGCAGAACAGGGCTTCCGATAGGATGGGTGGCAAGTGCCTGGAGATAAGTAGAATTCAGACCAGCACTTAGATCTGATATCATCCTTCTTAAGGTGTTGTTGAATTCCACAGGAACTTGTCTGCTTCCCTGGATGGTTAGCTCCGACTGAGAAGTTGGCGTTATAGAGTCCACATTTTCTTTTTTCCGGCTGGCAAGAACCCTCGCATTTGATTGACCTGCAAGTGGCTCACCGGCCAATATCAGCAGTAAGACTCTTATCGTGTGGGACGCAAACGATTCGGTGAGGAGATATCCCCAATTCCCTTCCAATTCCGAGATGACACCTAGGAACAATTCCATCGCAGATCTCTGATTCAAGGGTTCATCTTGTCCTCCTTCCTCTCCATTATTTTCTATAGTTTGCTTTCTTTCTTTTTTTCTATCCTTAGGTTTTTCCATCTCGGACGTTACAATCGGCGCCGCACGTATGAACAGACATTCGCAACAGTGGCTCGCGAAGCGATGTTGAACAAGGTGTAGGAAATGGCCCGTAAATTTCTCAAATAAGGTCTTCACCTGCCCTGGGGTAGACATTGCAATCAATTTTTCCATGAGTCTAGAGCATGACTGACTGCAAGCAATCTTTAATTCCTTCCCTCTAGCTTCCGCGTAAACACTTTCAATGAACAGCCGTTTATCATCATCATCCTCAAAAGAGTTGAGTTCCAGGGTCTGACTCGCTTTTGAGAAATATTCCTGCTCCTCAGCGTCAAGAAGCCCATAGAAGGGAGTATCATCTTCTTGTCCTTGCTCTTGCTCCTTTTCAGTATCGCGGGTATCGAGGGGAATATAGTCGTCTCCAGCTTGAGCTTCGTTGTCTTCGTCCGCGGTTCGCTGACGTTTTGGCGAAGTAGGCACTTCATCATCCTCCCATTTTCGCTTCGACTGACTTTTTTCTGCCCGGCGACCTCTTTTCTTCTTTTCGCGAGGCATGGTTCCTATATGGCGACGGTGGTTTGCGAATATCTTCCTTTCAGCTTTTTGAATGAACTTTTTTTTTTATCATTTTCGAAAAGTTAACTTCTTGGTTAGTTAACTACCGAACTAAGGCTTGATAGCCAAGCTTGATATCTCCACGTGATCTTATCAGGCTCCGACCAATCATATTCAACTAGTTACCATACAAGAGCTTCCATCCAGATATTCACATCTTCGTCCCCTTTCTGTTCCAAAGATGACAGTGGACCGAATCATTTGCCAAGGAGGCAGATGGTTACACTGGTATCGTCTTTATTCTGTGCCTGGATTTCCCCCTTCTAAGAATTTGAAAAAGGTGATCTCGTTGCCGTCAGGATCCTCCAAAGTAAACTGTCGATAACCCCATGGCTGGTCCTCGATAGGCTTCGTAATCTTAACCTTCCCTTCGTCGAGAAGGATATTGTAGTACTCGTCTAGCTCTATGCTTCCCAGTGCAATCATTGTCGAAGAGCGATGGAATATTTCTTGGTCGTCTTCACCAACACTTCCATCCGCCTTTGCCTCGTCAGGTCCTGAAGATGGTAACTTTGTTTTAAAAAAGTAAATATTGGCATCTGCCTTTTTGCCAATAAATACTGAGCAAAATGTCGGGATACTATTTACATCATCATCGGGGTGCGTTCCTCCGAGTGTAAAGTAGAGTGATTTCGTGTAGAATTCGATAGTCTGGGGAATGGAGGTGCTGCAAAACTGTGGAATAATTTTCCATGCGGATTGCGAATACGTCGCCATAGCTTTAATTTGGTGTATTTTCGATTATAGATTAAATAGGTTTGAGATGTAAATGGCTATTTAATCTGTATATGTTGACTTTCCGTGACTGATGATGTTCGTCAATGTCGTTTAGCCCATAGAAAAGTTACGAATTGGTGTTTTGGACTTAGGCAGCAGCGGTTCGTAAAGTTAGTTATAATATTTAGTTATCCACTTGACCAACCATGTAACTCCTACCAGACGATAAACTTCCCCTCTTATGAATCATATACTTTGATAAGTGTTTTATTCCTAGTAATTTTCTTTTAATTTATGTCAGCATTAGATTTTAACCAGACGGAGTGAATTCTCATTTGCAACAGCCTCAAGGAATCCGCCTACATCAATACCCGAAGAAGTCAGAATATGCTCAAACACATAATGAAACCACCTTGATTCCGGGAGCTCAAAATACTGAAAATACCCCAAAGAAACAGTAGCTGGGAAAGCAAACATGGTCACTCCGATGGTAATCAATTCTGGAGTCAGAAAATATTCAAGGGACCGGGCAATGTTGGTAGCGACCACATATAGCTCAGGCGCAGAAATGGGTAATTCAGCCATCGAACATGTGGTCCTGCTGCTATCGTCAAAGTGTAAGTTGGGTATAGGTGCATTTACTTCATGCCAACGTTTATCCTCCTGGCCTGAAAGGAACTGGTATGCCAACCAAAGGTTATTGCAAATCAGCAATTGGGCTGTCCAGTAGAGCATCTGCAGATGGGCGGTCTCCGTGTCCAAAAAATGAATATACGACGAGAAAATGGGGTGATCTCTGATAAATTCCTCCGTTATGCTGATTGACAACATAGAAGACCTTTCCCAATATAGCGGTTCTCCTCTACCGGCCCAAAGCGAAATATTCCATTGACCTAGCTTGTTCAATAGGTCACGACAATTCCTAGAAACTTCTTCAACTCTATATGGGAGATAGGGTGAATTATCTTCCCGAATTAGATCAATTGCTCGTAGAATGGATGGTATTGAAGCCAGCAGTTGAAGTAACTGGTGGCTGGGTTGATTTCTCGCTTGTAGCAAAGGTAAACAGGTCCACTCAGGGTCTGCCAGAAAAGATGGCTGCCGAGAGCCGATAGCGCGTATTATCTGTTTATTCTAACGGTTAATAGCGTTGAACGAGATGCGATCAATGGAATGGAACACTCACAGCAAAGTGACGCAGCCCGAGAAACAGCTGTTTCCTGAAAGTTGTCCATTCCGAAGAATTTGGCTGTAATCGTATAAGCCGCGTGGCCCCGTCAGTATGACTTGCCCAGCCAAGGCCTCTCATCGGAGAACCTTCAATGGCCTAAATGGTTAATAAATTGGTCAATAGAAGAGCAAGTAGCTGGAGATAATTTGCGACGGTAGTACCTCATAAAGGGCTAAGTACATTATCCCTGCTAGTGATTCGTCATCCAAACATTCAGAGTTGATACTGAGGCGCCGGTATAATTGAGCTAGGGCCGAAGAGTAGAACTGCTGGCCTTTGTACACGATTCTGGAGTCATTCGATAATTTGCCAACCCTCGCGAGACCCAGGGCAAGTAATGCATTACGCAATATCGGGTTTTCAGTATTACTGTGAGGCCCTGTAACCATCCAGCCTGTAAAGCATGATTGGCGTAAATTTTGCGCACTGCTGCCGATATTTCCCAGAAAGATGTTTAAAAACAATCCAGGGTATGACCCAACAAGAAGCGACTTTGATAGCGCTTCTGCATGACTTGTCAGCATTACTTCAGTAGTATCGCAGGGAACAGTGATGTTCTTTCGAAGTCTATTCTTTGAGCTTGGCACTACTTTATCTGGGATTGCGTGGACTTCGCTTTGCTTGCATGGCTGGTTGGAAGTATGGATAAATTTGAGCTGCCGCCCGTAACCACCACAAGAAATGCCTAGTTTCTTGCACTGGCCACATGAAGGCCTTTGCATATCACACTGCAAGTCCTTGTCAGCTTGCATGTACTTGATATGGGGTTTGGGGTTCTATCACACATACACCTTTCTTTCGCCTTCGGCAAGTGTTGCATCCTGCAGATATTTTTGGCATATTGCTTCACCATTCAAGTAAAAACGAAAGTGCCTATTTCATAGCTCTTTAGTACCAGCACCAAGGGGAAAGAAAGCGTCATCTTTCTTATATTTATAATGTGTAATGATGAATGGGGCTGTTAACTGTGCCGTATGGTCGGAAATACGAGGTCACCTATCTTCTTTTTGGGAAAGCTATTGCGCGGAACAGCCACGTGATAACTAAACTCTAAACGCGGATCTCTTTAACCAAGCTAGGTTGCTAAAGTAGGTTAGTTAACTTGTTATTAAGGTTTAGCCAAACTCTGAGCTTGGAAGAGACAAAAATAGAACGAATACGCTCCGTATTTCCCAGCTCTCATCAGGTCAACATTCACGTTAAGCGAGCACGCGTTGGTCCATTACGTAGTACATTCTATAGCGCAAAAGATGCCTAGGGACAGTCATAACAGAAGAGAATATGGCGGCCTTGTATTAGTATCAGCGCCATTTGGGGAATGTAATATAAAGGCCTTGATAAGAGACATCATGCAGAGAAATCCAACATTTCGACAAAGGAATCAATTGACATTTAGACACTAGATTGAAAATTCAATACTTGGCCTACGGAGTGCTCCATTTAGAATCGGAAAGATGAAGAACACTGTCAAGTTACTCTTTCAAAAGATATATCAACCAGTTGGATTTTCCAAAGGATATAACTTCATTATATGTCAGTATTCGAGCTTTGAATTACCATCTCTTCAGCTAACTTCAGTATAGTTTTTGTCCTTGCTGGAGCATTCATGGGATTCACCCTGGCACGATTTCAATACCTTAATATTACAGGTAATTTTTGCAAAAAAGGAAATGCTGCTCCGGGCGAGTGCTTCTATTACCTCAAGCAAACTCGATACCATGTTGGCATAATTCTTCACCTTGGATGCATTTTGCGTAAGCAAATTTCTTCACCCTCGGATGTTCTTTTGTATGATACATTTCCTATGGGAAGCTAACTCGGTTTTTATAGCTGCTTCATTCCTGGCCTGCTTCCAATTCGTACCTATAATTCGGCGCAAGTTTATTCTGTGGCACCGGATTTCTGGGTATTTGATCATGCTCCTGGTGCTTATTTCCAATGTTGGTGCTCTTGTCATAGCACGGCGGACATTTGGCGGCACATTGGATATACAGGCGGGCGTAGGGGCCCTTGTACTGATGACTACCGTTGGAATTGGGTTTGCATATTATAACGTCAAAAAGCTCCAAATTGATCAGCACCGAGCGTGGATGATCAGGTCATTCGTATATGTATGACTCCTTTCCATTTTACGTCAGCCTCTGATTAATACTGATACTGGGATGATAGATGGGAGCCATTATCACGAACAGGTTCATATTCGCAACTGCTGCGACAATAATAACCGCGATTGGTGGGTATAATGCAGTTTGGCCCTGTGATAAACTTGATTATACCCTTGGCTATAACGAGACCTTAAGCAAGTATCCGAGCTGTTCCGCCTTTTATGACGGATCAAAACCCCAACAACAGGCACTTGTCGTTGCGGACTTCAAAGGTGGAGATGAGAATGTGTCAGCAGCTATAGGCCTCAATTTTGGAATGGCAATGTGGATTGCTATCTTTATACATGCCATCGGCGTGGAGATATATGTAAGTACGGTACATCAGGTTACTGCGCTGTGAAATGCCTTGCTAACAGAGATACAAAGCTGCGGCTAACGCCTGGCGAGTCTTTTCGTTTGCGACAAGTCTCTTATCAACTCCAGCTTGAGGCCGGATACCGCATGCCAGGCAAGGCAGGGCTGACGGCCGAGAGATTCGGTGATTGTAGTGGAATGGAGGAATCGTAAAATTTCCTTCGGACCTCGGATCAAATTGATGAATTTCTCCTCGTTACCGAATACACATATATTCAGTGAGGATAATGCTGAGTCGGTGTTCCTTTTCGCTGTCATGCGCTGAAGTTAAGGGTAAGTTGGCGCTACACCTAATTTGGCTAGCTAGTTCCTTGGAGCAAATCGTGCTGGCGTATGGCGCTTATTTAGACATCAGCTTATACTTTGAGGTTTTATTTAGAGACACATGGCCTTTTCTCGTCAAATTTAAGAAATACTGCTTTTATTTAAAATTTAATATGCCCAATATTCTCGTATCCTATGTCTTTTATGTGGTGATTAGGCTACAGTAATAACCATACCACATCAATGCCCTCTACAACGCAGCGAAGTGGCATACTGCCATCGGCACAGAAAGCAAATAAGCCCACAATGACGTTTGATCTTCTTGTGACTGTCTTTCAGAAAACACTATTCCATCCGTTTATTGCTTGGTTGATACCCCTGTGCCTGGTCGCTCAAGCGACACCATATTCCCATCCCTCCTTCATCATTACAGCGACATATGCTGCTGTCCTGAGTTCATTTGTCGTGTTATCATATGTAAATAAGCGCTTAGCCTACGGACCACCGCGCAATGTCGATTTCAAAAGAGAAGTTGTTGTGGTTGCGGGTGGTGCTAGTGGACTTGGGCTTGCGATAGCCGAAACATATGGGATGCGAGGGGTGAGCGTCGCAGTCTTGGATATTAAAGACCCAGGCGAGAACAGTGGGTATGTAAGATGGGACGAATTCCCAAGTCTGGAATACTATAAGTGTGATATGAGCAGCAAGAGTGAGGTTGATAAAGCAGCTAAGAAAATAGTGAAGGATGTATGCCACCAAATTTCTTCTTTTTCTTGGTTGTCACAATCCTGTCCACTGTGTTGTGTCCGGAAATGGTTTGTTTGCTAACTAAAGTATTACGCTTACAGCTAGGGAGGCCAACGATTTTTGTGAACTGCGTGGCAACAGCCATCAATGGTCTTCCCTTACTCTTCCTTTCAGACAAGGCAATCGAGACAACTATCAAAACAAACGTCCTCTCCCATTTCCATGCACTCAAAGCATTTATCCCGGGAATGCTATCCTCTCGGATTGGAGGTACCATTGTCACTGTCAGCTCCGTTCTAGGCCATATTACCGCTGCTGGCTTGTCAGACTATTCTGCCTCAAAAGCCGCTGTGACCGCAGTGCATAGAACTATAGACGCAGAGGTACGGCTGTTAGGAGCCTCAGGGAGAATAAAAACCATTTTGGTTGAAACTGGTCAAATTGCCACGCCATTATTTGAAGGATTGGAAACACCAAATAGCTTTTGGGCTCCGGTATTAGAGCCAGTCCAGGTGGCGCGCGAAATTATATCCATGATCGATAGCGGAGATGGGGGAGTGATCAGAATGCCGGCTTATGCCTCATTACTGGGAGTTTATGCTATGCTCCCGGCATCTATTGAGAGATTTGCCAGGTACCTAAGCGGTGTTGATTCAGCTGTCGCTAAAGCAACTATTTCAGCCGCTGCGGAGAATAAGGAGCAAGCTATGCCTCTTTCAACAAGCAGCTCTGAGGATAGCGATCACGACGACAGCGACAATTGATAGGGTATCAGCAGTAAGATATCAATGATTCGCTAGAACCCACGAAATCTCTTTCCGTTTATATGGATTCCGGCGTGGGTGATTATTTTTCGGTCGCCAAGACCATCTTCTCCCTCTCACTTCGCCGCGGCTTTACCACCTTGTTGTTCTTCCTCACATTTTCTTCACGTCTCTTCAATGCCTTGATTTCTTCGCCCTTAATTTCGCCGGCTTTCTTTATAGCTTTGGGCAGGTGTCGATGGCGTTTGATGCGACGAATTTCAGGCATATGAGCATACCGGCGTTTCAAGGCCTCATCGTACTGCAGCTTTTGGCGCTCTTTAGCGCTCTTGATACCGCCTCTGGAGGAAGCATTAGACCGCCAGAGCCGTATATTTCCATCATCTGATCCAGATAAAACATAGTTATTGTCTGGTGTGAATTTTGCTGAGAAAACTCTGTGGAAAACAAACATGAAATTAGCCCAGCGGGAAATACGAAAATAGTACTGGTATCCATTTGGAAAATCTCACCTCTGCATGCGCTTTGTATGATATACGTCTCTTGAGTGTCCCCTCTCCCGGTTCCAAAGCCTGATGGTACGGTCATAGGACGCTGATACCAATTCTTCGCCCGTTGGACTGAATTCAACATCCATAACCGCTGCGACATGGTCTTTGAGAACGTTTAAAGCGCGATCCATCTTTCTCATATCAAAAATGTATATGTTATGATCCTCGTTTGCAACAGCGAAGTTGAATGCTTCCATCGGGTTCCAGGATATTGCGTTTGAAGCAAGATTCAATATCACTTTGGAAATTGGTGATGAGGTACGTAGGTCATACATCACGATAGATCTGTCAGTAGCAGTTGAACCTAAGATGGAGGTCTCTGTCCGGTTGAAGGCTAGAGACGTAATGGTATCTGTACTCGTAGGCCAGTTCAGAGTCTCCGAAGGGGTAGATGACGGCCTTGAAAGATCATAAATCGATATGACGGATGAAGCCACGGCAAATGATGGGTGAGTCTCGTGGCGTGATACACTGGTGAATGCACCTTGGCCAAGGTACGTTGCAAGCGGAGCAGATTCGGCGGGGGTGTTGTATGGATCGAAAAGTTTGACAGTCTTGTCGCTGGCACACGACAGAAGTTTTCTATCGGAGGTCCAGCACATGCCCTTAACAATATTCTCATGCGCTTGCGCATGCCATATTTCGTCGCGCGTGGTCAAATCCCAGATCTTCACAACACCATCTCCACTCCCACTGGCGAATCTTTCGAGGGAGATTGGGTCCTTTGCCATGCTATAAACACCATCGACATGCCCATTCCCCAGCTGCGAAATGAAAGGAGAAGCAAACATTCTCTCCATCTTTACCGCGTTAAGCGCTCTTGTGTATTCGCGTGCTCGTTCAAACGGATGCTGGGAGGGATCAACATTCCGCTGCACCCTTTGCACATTGGTGCCAGGAGTCTGCTGCGTGGCAGCAGACCGAGAAAGAGCTTTAATTTTCTAAAAACAAGCCCATTAGAATCATGTTCAAACATTGCTTATGGGATACAACTTACCATAATGACGGGTTAGCTCACGTCTCTGCGGACATCTTTTTGATATCTTTATTTTACTTTTTATTTTTTTTTATCAGCATTTTGATCGATGAAACTTTAAACCGGAGTGGGGGAAAATAATATTCCACAATATGTCCGTGGCCCTAGCTTCAGGTCACTTTCCTAGCCAAAACATGTCGACAGCAACTCTTCGCATCAACCAAAACCCATATTTCAAGCGTTAGCCTACTATATTCTGGACATCAGAAGTCCGACTCAGTTGCTAGCCCTTTACCTGCCAGGAAACGAGCTACATTTCTATACTTTACCTCACCACCATGGCTCCAGCCCCCAATGAAGCTGGCCGGCTCGCGGAGGCGGAGGCAGCAGCAAAGACTGACCCTACCAAAGCTCAGAAGATATACCAAGAAGTGGTTGCCGAAGGCCCTGGGTCTAGCGAAGCTGCCTCTAGAGACTACGAAGTTGCCTTATTGGGCCTAGGAAAGATTTATCGCGACCAGAAGAAGCCCAAGGAGCTTGCGGAGCTACTGAAAACCAGCAGATCCTCATTCTCCTCATTCGCAAAGGCCAAGTCAGCAAAGCTGGGTACGTTATTGCTACATAGTGGATAAATGAGGTCGATCTTAATTAACGCATTTATTTCTGAAGTCCGCCAGCTACTTGACTACTTCGCCGATATCCCAAATACCCTCGATATCCAGATTACTGTCATCAAATCCTGTATAGAATGGGCTGTTTCCGAACGACGATCATTCCTCCGACAAAACCTTGAAACCAGACTTGTGGTGATATATATGCAGAAGCAAACATATTACGATGCCCTTACCCTCATCAACTCTCTTCTCCGCGAGCTTAAGCGCTTAGATGATAAACTTGTCTTAGTCGAAGTCCAGCTACTTGAATCGCGCGTCTACCATGCCCTTGGCAACCAACCAAAGGCCCGTGCTGCGTTGACATCCGCTCGAACTTCGGCAGCATCAGTGTATACCCCACCCTTGCTACAAGCCGGCTTAGATATGCAGAGCGGAATGCTACACGCCGAGGATAAGGATTTCAACACAGCGTTCTCTTACTTCATCGAAGCTCTTGAGGGTTATCACGCTCAGGAAGATGCTAGCAAGGCAACATCTGCACTTCAGTATATGCTCCTCTGCAAAATCATGTTGAATTTGGGAAACGACGTGAATACCTTACTCTCATCGAAGCACGCAATTCGATATGCCGGTACAAGCCTAGAGGCTATGAAAGCAGTTGCACGTGCGCACTCGAATCGATCTCTTGAAGAATACGAAAAAGCTCTGTCTGACTACCGATATGAGCTAGGCGGTGATGTGTTTGTCCGAAACCATCTTCGAAGACTGTACGACGCCATGTTGGAGCAGAACCTCATTAAAGTCATTGAGCCGTTCAGCAGGGTAGAAATTGCCCATATTGCGAAGATAGTGGGTTTGGACACACAGCAGGTCGAGAAGAAGCTGTCCCAAATGATTCTTGATAAAGTGATAATTGGCGTACTGGACCAAGGTGCAGGCTGCTTGATCATCTTCGACGAGGCAGAAAGAGACAAAGGATACGATGCTGCTCTGGAGACCATCGATCGGCTTAGCACAGTGGTCGACCTGTTGTACACTAACAAAGCTTCTTTACTAGAGTAGCCCTTTGATTCGTGAAGAGACGCTCGATATTGAGGTGTGACTATTTCCCCTTTTCTGTGGCACAATTTCTGTAAGCCTGAAGCCATTTGGTCCCTTTAGCTACCTCACCCCAACACAGCGTCATATTCATATAGAGAGCAGTCAACTGGTCGACTTTACATCTTCATATGGAGCCTTCTCGTCTGGTTCGTAGTAGTAAATCTGTATCCAAAGTTTCCCCTTTGTACGCGCCAAAGAAAAGTAGCCTCACCACGTGACGTGACAAAGCAAAAAAAAAAAAAAGAACGAGCGTTGTTCGTGATCCTTACAACTTTTGCTCCATCACGATATGCGCGGCTCGTTTACCTCCCAGCATCCACCAAAGCCAACACATCTTATCAAATCCGGCCCGCTACTACTGGTCGCGACTGCCTTTACTAGGCCGTTTATATTGGCGACTCTTGACTGACCGCCAAGATGAATGCTCCCATGCAACAGCCCAATTATCGTGGCTATCCACAACAGGCCGCTTACCGATCTCCAGCCACGCCACGCAGACACGGTCCTGTCCCTGGTGAGTGTCTTACATACTTCTTATTAATATAACAATCCTTGCTCGTGTCAACTTGAACCTGTTATATTCAAGTTTTCCGTTACCAGAGATTTCTAATTTGAACACAGTAGGTATGCCAATGCCGCAACACGCACCGCAAGCCATGCCAAACCAGCAGATTCTTAGCCAGCGCCATGCGTCGAACCCAGTTGAAGCCGCTGTAAGGCGAAGTCGAAAGCCGACGGATAAAAACCTACCAGACAATGTGGAAGATATCGTGATTGGGGACGTGGCGCAACATTATAAGCGACTCCGAGAGGTCGAGAAACGACTGGACGCGTCTATGATCCGGAAGAGACTTGATATTTACGATTCTGTTAATAAAAATACGAAAAGGTACCGGACAATGAGAATATGGATATCCAACACAGTCGAGAGTCAGCCATGGCAACAACAACAACAACAACAGGATTCCTCCAATTCAGACGGAGCGATGGGAACGAAATTGGGCGCAGGACGATACAGGGTGAAAATTGAAGGGCGATTGCTTGATGATGAGGCCGACCCAACTGTATCAGACGAGAGTGACGAGGAAGGGGAAACCGAAAACCGGGGAGGTGAGCCTGATGCGATGGAGGAGAACTCTTCAAACACAAAGCCAAACAAGCCGACACCACAGCGGAAAAGGCTATCTCAATTTTTCAAGGCTATAACTATCGACTTTGACAAGCCAACCGAAAACGGGGTCGCAGATTTG